CCTAATATATATATATATATATATATATATATATATAATAGCACATTTTAAATATGTAGATGTATATCTGTTAAAAGTTTATTTTGTCAACCTTTAGAGATACACTAACATATGGCCTCAACTAAAAGCTACAAATGTAAGATTTTTCATGAGACCTTTAAAGCCTTAAAGACCTTTCAGAAACATGTCTTTGTGTCATGCTCTAATGCCACATTACCATTTTGCATTTATGCGGCTGCATTAACACTAATCAGCCACTCTGCATGTGCTGCTTATGTAAATGCTTCATGTTAAATTATGCAGATTTGAAAACCATATATTTTGAGCACTGGGGAGTTTATGAGAATGTTTAGTCTGTGATGAAACAATGACAAGTCCAAGACATTTGTATACTCAAACACTACAGAGAGAGAGAGAGAGAGAGAGCCACCACCGCAATGCCGTGTATTGGACTGCAGAGAGATATTAATTTTTCAATCTGCTAAGTTACTGACTGTACTGACAAACCATGCTGACTTAGGAAATGTGATGTAACCGATGTGATCAGCATGAGTGACATGGCAATTTTAAGGGACGAGGTCAAGTGAGCCGTCATCTGCGAACACTCGGTCAAGCCAGCCGCCACCTAGATTTGAATGCTCGTCTATTTTTGGAATTACGGTACGAATGTGTGGTGCAGCCAAAAAGCTGAGAAAGATGATTTTTGGAAGCTTCATGTATCACAACACCTTAATTCCACAAACAGGCGTGCAGCAAAATGACGGCTCACTTGACTGGGTCAAAGGGTTGGCTGGTGTCACTAGTGACCTGGGTCGCCAGTAACAAACAATGGAGTAATTAATTAAAGTGATTACACCATTTAAAAGCATTTCATGTGCGTTATAGGTTTTAAAAAAAAATTGATATCTGTGGTATATTCGCCGATGCCGATATATCTGCGACATGCTCATATCGGTCGATAAAATCGGCAAAACGATATATCGGTCGGCCTCTATAAATCAATCTAAACTGCAACTACATCATTAAAAATGTGTAATTTGACATTCATTTTAAAGATAATATATTTTAAAAGTAATAAATCACAACTGCATCATAACAAGTGTGTAATTACAAATATATTTAAGTACATGACATGCCTGTAAAAAGTTTCAATTGAACCCCACTCTCTCATGTACACAAATACGACAGTTAGCGGAAGCTAGAGATTACGGTTTATAAAGTTTTATATATGGATATTTTTACAAAAACTCATCAATTCACTTCAGGAGGCCTTTATTAACTCGCCGGAGCCATGGGGAGTACTTTTTATGATGGATGGATGCACTTTATTGGACTTCTATTGGACTATTGAATTCATTGCCATCATAAAGCTTGGAAGAGCCAGGACATTATTTTAATATAACTCCACTTATATTTGTCTAAAAGAAGAAAGTCATACACACCTAGGATGGCTTGAGAGTGAGTAAATCATAGGGTAATTTTCATTTTTGGGTTAAATATTAGTTTATATTAGTTTAGCATAAATTCTTGTCTTTGACAGTACACTTTAACCATATTTCAAAGACAATAGAATGAATTATGAAATTAGATATTAAGATGAATACTTAAGTGGGTCAAAAACACTTAGCTAAATATTCCTTTGATAATACATATTCATTGATTTGCAATTAACATGCAATTACATGTCTGAAAACATTACATTTAACTTGCACTTGCTTTTAAATTATATTTCCATAATATTAACTCTTTTTAAGAGCATGCCTAAGTGTACTTCTTTTTCACAAAAGCTTATACCTGGAATACTCTTTTAACAACCACTAACATGATGTTGTTGCTATTACGTTATCAAGACCAAGAGCATGTTAACAAAGCAATTTAATGCATAAAGTACACCAACTGGGTACATAGCCTGAACCCTTCAAAGCAGGCCATAGTGATGCTCTGCAATTCTATTGGTCACATTTCTGTGATGTCACTGAGGAGCTCAGTCAATGTCCTTGACAAACTCTGACAGAAAGCTCTTTCTGCTGACACCAACTTTGCTACAGCAGTTTTGAGTTTCTGGCATGACTCATCACTCTATCACGCTCACTCTTGTCTCTCTTTCCCTCTCCACAGCGCTCACTCCACCTCTCCTGTCTCTCCATATGCCCATCCCCCTTCCCCTCCCTAAAAAGAGGAGGATGTCCCGTAATCTCCCGCGTTGCTCGGATGCAGTAGACTAATTACGGGCTTTATGTGCCTCTGCTCTGGGGCTGATACCCCTATGGGGGGGGCAACTATCTCCTCTCTGGTGCTAAATGCGGCCTAGAGAATAACATAAGAGGAGATTACATTTAGAGTGGATTTTAGGCTGGAAATTAATAGTGAAGGGGGTGAAGGGAACGTGTGGAGCATAGCAAACATTAGTCTGTGCCACATCACAAAAGCCTAGGATTGGCTGTTTTATTGCCAGGAAAAGCATTTACTGGCTTTCTAAAGGTTTATAAGCTCTCGTATATGGCTGTTCTGTCAGCTCTTAAAATACTCCACTTATTGCCTCATTGAAAAGGTTTTTCACACATCACATGTTTTTCATACGTAATAGAAAGAGGCATTCAGGAATGGTCTGCTTCACTGTTGTATTTGTGCTTGGGAATCAAGAGCTGGTTATATTTGGAACTAGTATCATTTTTGAGAAGTTACAGATTAACTGTTTGATTTATGACATTTGTTTCAATGAATGGTTCTGGGACATCTGCGGTTTTTCACAGATGAGGACAGATTTATTAAGTAATAAATTAAGAGAGACAGTGTTATATTGTGAATACAGTGAAACATAAATGTTGTTAGGCGCATTGCACAGTGTACATAAAATCACACTGCACTGAATGCCTTAGAAAAGCGGATATTTATTATTATTATTTTTATATGGAACAAAAGCAAAAAGCATCACAAAGGCAAAGGCTACTAAAGAGTCAATGGCTACTAAATTTAGATTTTTTTTTTTTTTGTATGTTGTATACATATACACTGGAGAAACTAAATCCCAAGTATAGTACAATAAAGATGGTAAAGTTTCAGATCCAGTAAATATTAATAGTTAATTTTATTCAGTTGATTGTGCATGCTAGAATTGTGCAACAATACCTTTTATTTATTTATTTTTTTTAAAATAATTTCTAGGGGTTGGCAGTATGACCAAATTATGTATTCATGAAGTATGTGTGTATTACACAAACTTTAAAAAAATTTTTTTTTGATGAATGATGAATTTGGTGTAACATGCATATGTAGTACTTGAGTTACATTATAACATGGATAATGACTCTAAATTCAGATTGGATGAACCATATTCACCATATTCAAATCCACAGTAAAATATTTGTTATACGCCAGTGTTACTTTAGTATTATTTAAGTAATACTTTAGTATATTTTGAATTCACTTTTATTTTTGTACTTTCAGTTTTCGTTTTAATTTGTAAGTTGTATTTTTATGTTCATATATGTAGCTTTAATTTCTTTATTTCAGTTTTAGTTATTTTAGTACTTTAAATAAAATAAAGTTGGTTGACAAATTGCCATTTCTAATTTTTGCTTAAGCTGTTTGTTAAAATTTTTTAATATTTATAATAACAAGTATACATATCTAATATATATATATACATATCTAATATATATATATATATATATAGTTTATTTCAATTGCTAAAAATGATTTTAATAGTTTTAGTTAACAATAACAATACTGTTATACGCCATATATAACCTATAAATTATATAGAAACTGTAAACAACCAAACATTGTATTTTCACATTACGTCATGCTTCTTCACATTCTCTTATGTAAATATGTACAGTTCTGCCCACTGTTTGCCACAAATATATTTACTGTACGGTATTGGTACAGCAAAATTGCTATCACTACACATTTCTACCTTCACTCAGTATATACCTAGACAGGCAGTTTAAAGTGGTGAATATAAACACTGTCCATTCTTCCTTAAATTACTCAAAGATCTGCTAATGCAACTGATAAGGAAACAGAATCATTAAGGTGAACTGGAATCAATAAATCCTTTATGACTGCATCTCATCATGCAGCTCTCTTTTAACATACTCTATTTCAGAGAGCTTCATTTGGTTAAGAAAAGCTAGAAACAAATCATTAGTAACTGAATGCAGACAATATCCTCTGTCCCAATGTCATGATGACAGATAGGGGCTTTAATGCAAGTGTGTTACACATCCATCATCCGTACATGTAAATGCACTGCTCTTGATGAGAAGAAATAAGTGCTATTCAATTAGCACTGAAACGCTCACGTGTAATGGCTTTGACCCGTGTATAAAACACTGTTTTCAAGCTGCCGGGCTCTCACTCGCACATACTCAATCATTCAGGTTCTCTCTTTCACAGCCAGCAGTCCCTTCCCAATAAAAGAACAACTTCCTCACCGAAGTCAACCAGCTTGATTCCTCCTTCTGTGGTGAGCAGGATGTTGTTGCCCTTGACATCTCGATGGATGGTTTTATTGATGTGTAAATGCTGGAGACCCTTTAGACACAAGAGCACGTTACAGACCTAAACTCACTGAAAGGATACATTTGTGTTCATATTTTAAAATAGAGGATCAAGGTTGATTTTGGATTTTACCATGAGAGATTCATGTAGGATGTAGGCTATGATGGGTTCCTCCATGCGGTCTCCTCTTTTCAGCATACCTTTAGCCAGATCTGTGACAGACCCTCCATTACACAACTGCAAACAAACACATGAAATACATTCAAATACAACATTCATACAAAAAAAAAAAAAAAACATATACAGTGCAACTTGTTACATATGGTAATACAACCTTTTTCTGTGATAAACATAAAAATAAATAAGTTAAACACTTTTTTTTTTTTTATCCAAACATATAGAGAGCAAACCGTTCCCTTTCATGGGAACTTCGAACTGCGTCCTCTAGGGGTCGCTATGGGGAACGCCTCGTCGTGACCTGTGTCTGAAGCATACATAGAAAAACACCAACTCGTTGGCCGGCGACAGCCATGACGTCACTACGACCAAACCTATAGATATATATGGTAATACAACCGGTTTCTTGTAAAATAGTATTAAAAATAAATACATAAATAAGATAAAAAAATATATATAAATACATGAATTAAAAACAATCAACCAGTTATATATGGTAATAAACCCTGATTCCGCAAAAAAATAAAAAATAATAATAATAAAATAAAATAAAGACATATTTATGCAAACAGAGAGTGACCTATTATATGTGACCCTGGAGCACAAACCCTGTCACGGTTCACACACACACGAGGAACACGGGAACGAAGGAGCGAGGAGACACGGAGTAAAGTAACTCAAAAGGGTTTATTAAACAAAGGCTGGGGATCACAGGACTCGACACATCAGGAGCACAGGATGACGTTTAACGACTGACAAAGGACAAGAACTAGAACACACTTTAAATACACAGGAACTGATGAGGGGAAGACAAGGGACACCTGGAACTAATGACAACTAACATTGGAAACACCTGGGAACAATGCATTCAAAACACGAGACAGAGAAACTGGATGACAAAGACACACACAAAACCTGGCCCAGAGCCTGACAAACCCAGTCTTAATATCAGAATATCAGAAGATATTTTGTAAATTTCTTACCGTCAATATATCAAAACGTAATTTTTGATTAGTAACATGCATTGCTAAGGACTTCATTTGGATAACTTTAAAGGCTTTTTTCTCAGTATTTAGATTTTTTTGCACCCTCAGATTCCAGATTTTCAAATAGTTGTATCTCGGCCAAATATAGTCCTATCCTAAAAAAATCATACATCAATGTAAAGCTTATTTATTCAGCTTTCATATGATGTATAAATCTCAGTTTCAAAAAATTGACCCTTATGACTGGTTTTGTGGTCCAGGGTCACATATATGGTAATATGTGCGGTTTCTAGAAAACAAACAAACAAAACGTTTCTGGTAAGAGAAAGAAAAAAACATTTTATGCAAACATATAGAGATCAAGTTCTTATATATAATATATAATAATACTATATATATATAATATATATAATAATACAATCTGTTTCTAATAAAATAATAATAATAATAATAATAAACATTAATTAAAACTGTCATATGGTAATACAAGCTGCTTCTAGTAAAAAAAAAACATTAAAAATATTTTTATGCAAATATATAAAGAGAAACCAGCTATATATGGTAATAAAACATGTTTGTGTTAAGTAAATCAATCAATCAAAAAATACAAAGTAAAAAGGTGAAACAAACATTTTAAAGAGCACTTGCTTTTAAAAGGCCTCACTTTTCTAATTTCTAATTTTTCATGACACATTCAACACTACAGTACAACTATTTTTCCCTTTCATTATGTAGACCAAGCAGGTCAAATGATACGTTCCTCATCGAAATGCTGAAATTTACAGAGGAATATTTACAAAGATTGCAGCTGTTTGTAATGTACAGAGAGATTTTAAATAGTGCAGGGAAGCATGTTTAAAATGCAATTTTCCATTGCATTACAAAATCTAACACACGGTTTTTATAGCAACAGAATCCTATAAAACTATCTAAGGGTTGATGATGTGGTTATGATCAATGCTAAATGCTTGCCTTCAGTCAGAGGACACAGAGGTGAAAATGGTTCTTTTTTTCTAAGGCAAGCCATCTTGAAATTACATAAAATTGTCTAGCATGTTGCCAAGGCAACAACAATACCCTCTTATTTAGAGCCATTTAAATCGACCAAAGGGAAACACGGCTGTCTTCAGCCCGCTGCTATTGTAATGGGACACAATGTTTGTATGAATGCTTTGACAGTCTCTTATTCACAATATCGCAAAATCTATTCACTTCTATTTTGCTGAAAGAAATAGAAATACAGAGACAGAGATGTGCACTTTGTAGTTTAAGAAAAAAAAAAAAACATGTCTAACCAATAAAGAAAAAACAGCAAATTGCCTCTAACATTACCAATGCAACCAGTTACAAATCCTTTGAAAACAATCTGCTTGATCCGGCCTTTCAGCAGAACACTGAACACTTCAAAGAGAACATCAATGACTCACATCACTTTATGTCCCGAGAGGCCATTTACATTTTCAAATACATTTACTTCTATTTCCAAGACTCATCCCAAGGGGTTCGGATGGGTGGGTGGATAGACTTGATTTCCCTGATTATGCATAAAGCTCAAACATCTGCAGAACTGAAAATATGTAAAGCTGAATTGTGTCATTTCTGTGTCACTATAGCGGCACCAAACGGAACTGCAGCTATAACAGCATTTTTGAAATGTGAGAGGGTGTTGGCAAGGAGTTGCAATGGTGGTTTTAGCTGTTTTAGCACATTGCTATTTGAATGATAGGGTGTTATGCATTGATTGCAGGTGGGAAGTCAAATATGATATATATATGATATTCGGTTTCTGTTTTATATTGTCTGCCAGGGGAAAACTGTTTTCGGTCCAATTTTTGTAACAGCACTCCACTGAGCCATTTTGAGATATCATTTATGTCTGTAGCACAAACCTGTGGGGATTTAAATCTCAAAATGTAGCACTTGGTGGCCATTCACACAAAATAAATTTTTGTGTAAAACACAAAGTGCAGAGAAGTGGAACAGAAAGAAATGCAAGATCTAGAGATGCATTTTTTTTTTTTAAAGTACTTTTGTCATGACAACTCTCGGAGGGATTGGCATGGTAATGTACATGACAATGTTAATGTATTTGGTCTTGGTGGAATAGATCTGATACGCTGCTGCTGCTGCGGCAGAGCAAGTACAGAGACTTGCTACTGCCAATACATCCACAACATGCTGCGGTGAGCATGTAAGAAATATTGCTGCTGCAAATATAACATACATGAAATAACCCCCATACGTAGCAGATCTATACAGGTGGAGCTGGGGAAGGTGGAGGGTTTCCCCAAACATCTAGAGTTTCATGCCAAAACTCTGTATTTCTTTGAACTTGAGCACCATGTTTTTAGAATGCTGTGTCAAGCACAAGAAGATGTGAGATACAAGTGCAGTGGTCAAACACGTCTGTCTAGTGCATGTTTACATAAAAAAAAACTTAAAATCAGTGCATAGAAACACAAAAATGTGATCTGTGTGAATGGACCCTTTTTGTTTGTTAAAAACAAAGACTAACAGCACAATTGCGACTGTGTCTTCAATAAATTCAATAATATTACTTACATTTTAGACACATTATTGGGAGTTACTTTATCTCTTTTTGCTTCGTCAATGAAAATATTTAAAAAACAAATTCACTGTACACCGGTTTTCATGTGTCGGAGGCTCAAAGCAATTCTCAGTAGTGAAGTTACAGCCCAGAATGAATCAGTGTTTTTAAACAAGTTGGCTGAATGATTCAATGACTCATTCAAAGAGACATCTGTCGCCACCTACTGGTGTAGTGATGAAACCATCAGAATGAGTCATTAAAAACCACTAAATGCACTTACTGACAACACTGCGTGACCAACTTGAGGCCATCGCGAAATCTGCATGGGGAAATATTTTGCGCACAGTTCCAGAATGCCCGGATTTCTATTGAAATGACTGGATTTTGTTTATAAAAAACCAAAGAGCAATGGTAAATGCTCTGCATATTTGCTTAAAATGAACTCACCCTCAGGCCATGCAAGATGTAGATGAGTTTATTTCTTAATCAAAACAATATTTTTTAGAAGATTTTGAGAAAGCAAGTCACTTACTCACCAATGGATCAATGCCGTCAAAATGAGGTACAGCCTGCATGTTTGTAAGAAACAAATCTATCATTAAGGCAATTAAACTCCAAACTGTAGCTTCTGGCCAAAATATGAACCCATAATTCATAACAATGCTTCCTCCAGTGAAAAAGTCCCTCCCCTGTTGTCCTGTAATCCACAGACATATTTGTTTAGGACAGTTTTGCTTGCAAACGTGCTTGATTTGTGCATTTTTCTATCCTGATTCAGACAACTTTTTCGCTGGAGAAAGCAATATTATGGATAGAGGACTCGTGTTTCAGCTGGAAGCATCTGTTAAAAATATTTGAATGATTTTATTTTTCCTTACAAACATGCAACTTTTCGCTTCACAGGACATTAATTGATAGACTGGATTCATGTGGATTACTTGTGGATTATTGTGATGTTTTTTTATCAGCTGTTTGGACTCTCATTCTGACGGCACCCATTCACTGCAGAAGATCCATTACTGAGCAATTGCTATAATGCTAAATTTCTTCAAATCTGTTCTGATGAAGAAACAAACTCATCAACATCTTGGATGGCCTAATTGTTGGGTTAGCTATACCTTTGACAAAGCTCTTTCTCACTCTCTGCAATACATTAAGAAACACTACAAAATGTTATTTACCTCTTTACGTTTCCTGTCTTTTTTCTTTTATAACCCCTCTTCAAAAGGGCAACACAGCTTTCAATTTAACTTGTTCTGGATGTCCAAGTTTGGTAAGTGGTGGGCTGAAAGGGTCATTTCTCATTGGGTTGAACAAGAAAGGTGAAACGTAGACACTTGAACAAAAAAAAGTATGTTGATGGGTGTGAAATGGAGTATTCCCACAGCTCCGGACCCATTTTGAAATCTCATTATTACTGTGCCAGAAGGGCCTTTGGCATTGTAGCGCACCTTCCTGTTTCAGTACTGTTTACCAAAGTTAATTGAGTTAACTGCAGGGAGCTGCCCATTTCATTTATAGCT